GTGTGTGTGTGTGTGTGTGTGTGTGTGTGTGTGTGTGTGTGTGTGTGCATGTGTGTGTGTGTAGATGTGTAGGTGTGTGGGAGAGGGTGTAAATTTGCACAATCATATCTCACCCAGTGAAAAAGCCACCCATCCGCTCTGCCTGTCAACAGTGGAAACAAAGAACAGGAACTGTTGTATGTCAGCAACTGGAGGGCTGCTATCTCCAACCATCTGGAAGAGGAAAAAGATAAAGATACTCTGAGGAGCTCTCCGGATGCTGCTGAAAAAAGAAGAAAAAAAAGATTTCCAATGTGGAGGTATAGACAGAACATTCACCTCATACAGGGGTCGACATAAACCGCGAGATGGCTATCTGCTGTGGGCAGTGATGAAAAGACAACAGAGTGTGGATGATATAAGTGTCCTCAGATTTATCTTCCAAGCACAATATGCAGAGGTTCAAAATATTATGCATGCAAAAGTGAGGCTGAAATTCAATATGCATTTTAATTTCCGTCATGTGTTGTTCCAAAACACAACATCAATGCAAAGTAAAATATTATAGAGTGAGTATTAAACACCCTGTAGACTCCTTTGTTTTGTTCATATAGTACTCCAACACACACCTGCCTCCAGCCCCTCCCTTTATCGTCTCCACAACACACACACACACACACACACACACACACACGAGAGAACAAGTGATGCAGTAGTAAAGCTAGTGAAGCATGTGGAAATAATTTACAAGTTACACATGGGAGCTGGAGGACAGACCCTGCTCTGGCATTCTGGAAGGTGGGAACACATTTATCATGTCATACAGCAACAGTGCGCATGCGATAAGGGTGCACATTTGGAGTATTTTGGAGATAGTAGAAATGTTTATAGCACATCAGAGCGCAATAAAAACTCGAGCTTCTCTCATATCCCCGCCTTGAGATATGCAGGCTGTTATCACTGCTGACTGTTGCCTTGAAAACTCGCCTGCACGGACTCATGTAGAGAATTCCACAGCTCTCTGACAACAAAAACCATGCCACGGTAACAGCCGCCAATCGCCGCCAGCCGCCCTGCGCGCACCCGATTGGCTCTTGTGATTAACTCGCACACTCCTCCACGGTACCCATTGGCTGGGTGGTAATGCACCCGTGACTTCGCTCCAGTAAAACCCACTGAGGGCGGAGCGCGCCGGCTGAGGCGGAGCTCTCCTTGGTACTTAAATGGATCTGGTGCTGAAAGAAGTGAAGTACTAGCAGGCACGACTGCCGGAGCGCCCGGTGCGCGGTGCGAAGAGTGAGAGAAAAGTGTGTTAAGAAAGAGGGAAGGAGAAGAAAGAGAAGGAGAGCAGGGGACCGTGCAGCCCTCTGTACTAATGGACCATAAGGATATTTAACCATTTGCCCGGGGAGCGCACAGGTATCCTCTTTTTCTCCAGTTTCTCCTCATGTTGCGCCGTGCGTAAAGACACAGGGTTCGCCTCTAATCACAGTGCTTTCTCCTTCCTCACTCTTTAGAGCTGCAAACCTCATACTATTTTTTCCTCCCTTTTTTTCTTACCTCTTTTTTCTGCATGGGAACCTCGGACTCATTTACATTCCACTGGAATTAATGATTGACTAATGGGTGTGAAGGGAGCAAGGGGCAGTGGATCATTGATTGTGTTAGTGTTCTCTTTCGGCTCAATAACACGAGAGAGCTCTTGCCCCTCAATACGGGGGACTGCTGAGAAGTGTTGAGTGCCTACTCTCTTATATATTGAGCAGAGAGGTTTAAATGCAGCCATGCGTTCGTGCATAATGTCTTTTGTTCCATGAAAGCTATATTTTACGCTATTGAAAGACCCTCTCTCTATCACTCTCTCCGTCTTTCTCCCCCTCTCCTTCACAGACACCGCAGTCCATGCCTCTGCCTTGCCAGGTCATTGATGGGAAATCAACTGGATCGGATCACCCACCTCAACTACAGCGAGCTGCCCACGGGGGATCCGTCCGGGCTGGAGAAGGACGAGCTTCGGGTCGGCGTCGCCTACTTCTTCTCTGACGAAGAGGAGGAGGTGGACGACCGCACTCCGTCCGACTGCAGCTTCACCAAGGAACACAGCCCGGCAGAGGAGGGACCCTTCTCGGTCAGCGAGGTGGAGTACTCAGCCTTCTGCTCCCAGGAATGCATATTCTCCAAGCTGCGGGAGAACGAGGACTTGAATGTGTACTCAGTCAAAACTTTGCTGACTATGTGCAAACCGGGGGACCTGCTGGAGCTGGTGGCCACAGCGCAAGCCCCCCACTGGGCCATCTACGAGCAGGACGACCAGGTCATTCATCTGCACAAGGGCGAGATCCGCAAGGACAGCCTGCTTGAAATCAGCAACGGCCGCCACGGGAGGATAGTCAACAATCGGTACCGGTACCGACCGCTTCCTCCTGACCTAGTGATGCAGAACGCAGTGGGACACCTGGGCCTGAGCAGCAAGGAGATATGCTGGACCAACGCGGAAAGTTTCGCAGCTTGGTGCCGCTTTGGGAAACGGGAGTTCAAAGCTGGGGGAGAGGCACACTCGGCGGAGCAGCAGTATTTCCTCAAAGTGCATCTGTCCGGCAGCGGGGTTCACACTCTGGTCTTTCGCAGCTTGGAGGACATGATCCGGGAGAGGAGGCGAGTGGACGCCAGTGGAATTCTCAAAGAGCTGTCTTTGGTTAACGGGGGCAAGGAGTGATTAGGGATTCCGTTTGATATCCTCTCCTCGAACCCCCATCTGCCCCCTTCCCCCTCTTCCCCGCTGCGCACGGACGCACAGTTTTGCGCACACGCAAACGTACTGGCACACACGCACACAAGCACACAGACGCACACACAAGCAAGGACCTGTTGGGTTTGGACTGTTTACCACGGATGCGCCCCGAGCTGCGTCTGGACCGCAAGCGCTCAGTGGAATTTCCATCAAATTGCAGAGTGTTGAAAACTGAGAGACAGCGGCCATGTAAACAGACAACGCCCCATCAGATAAGAATTCGTGCTGAGTGGGACACACGATTTCTGCTAAACCCATTTCCCCAAACAGCAAAAATCACCTTTAAAGACCGCACATAGCGCACACGGCTCGGTTTGGTTTTCTGTTTAATTTCTCGGGATAATGGAATTGGCCCCCTCTCGGCGTATGGGCGCGTGCTGCGGCAGACCAGACGGTGAGAGACGGGGGAAGATGAAAGATAGGATCTGGGATGGCTCTCTAAAAGTCTCCCTTCTATTTTTTTACTGTTAGCTTTAAGACCGGGACTGACCGTAACACAGATCCACTAAATCATAGACCTCTGACAGTCCCAGATGGCTACGCAGTTGCCTAAACAAAGCAGTTGGCTTGTTCAAGCTCCCCTTTTGCCATAACAAGAGTATTGTCATTCTCACAATGCTGCCATCCTGCTCCACAGCACTGGATGTATGTGTAAATTGTATTCATATATTGATTTCAATTTGAGTCCCTTATTTTTGTATTTAAGTTTAGTGGATTTAACCCTGATCTCTTTTTTTGGTTCAAATAAATGGAGGTTGAAATATGAAAATAAGCACTTGGTCTGGCAGGTGTTGTTTGGTCACATATAATTACTGACACACAAACGCATGATCTCTCACTCTCACACACATGCACACAGAGGGATGTGTAAATTATTTATACTCTAGTGCTTCCTGACCTGCCTCCAGCCAAATGGGCTTCATATATCTCCACAGTATTTGGAGGCAGTAAAATGGTCATCTGCATCAAACCCATCAAGGCTTTATGAAAAAGCTATATTGGATCTGGAAGCATATATAGGCAGCTGTGTGTCAATGTGAACACACAGTATTAGGCCAAAGGCTATTTTTCCTTGTTTTTTTCCTGCTGTTATTTATACATTCACAGGCATGTTGAGCTCTAGATTATATGTTCTTCCTTTCTTTCAATCGCATTACCACACTGCACATGTTCTGACATCACATTTCTCAACTGCATTGTGGACAAGATGTCTTCCAAGTAATGCTTATCATGAGGAAACACATTGTGTTCCTTTGGCACCTGTGTTGTATTAGTCTGCAGTGGCTTTATCTCTGGATTGATGTTTTGACTCCTCTGCTCTGAGAGTCAGACGGTGCCTCCCCTTCCTCCTGTGACCTGCTGTTGTATCGGTGAAGGTGGGATTAATCACCTCGATCTAACTTCTCATGTCCCCTTACTCTTGCTTAATTGCGTCTGTAAGGACTAGAGAGTGGATTTATGGAAAGGTTCCTCTGTAACGTGTGTCTTTGTTCTGCCTGGCAGCCTGCTACACCTGTGATTGGCCGTTGAATGTATACATGAGCTTCAGAGGATTTCACAATGTAATGTTGAAGCTGAATAGCTTGCCTGTTTCATTCCTGAATCCTCACCTATAGGATTCTCTGGTTTTTAGCCACAATGTGGCCATAAATAACCGGGCTGCAGCTGGAATGGCAGACAAAGAGTTTATATGTGTGTGTGTGTGTGTGTGTGTGTGTTTGTGTGGGAGAGAGGGAGCATTTTAGGTCCAGCATGCATGCAGTGTGTGTGTTTGTCTCGATAAGGGTCTGAATTGGTTTGGTGTAGGTGATGTTTGTTGAACAGTTCAATCAGACCCAGGTCTTCTCCAGCGACAGATGTTGCGATCTCAGCCCTCAGACATGTTTCATGTCAAAATACAGACTAATAAGCCTGTGAATCTTGTAAATTTGCCTTGAGAAGATATTCTCAAGCTATTGACCCAAATACTTAATTCTATCAGCTTTGCTGTGATTATATTGACACACTTCTTCTCTTGTTAGCTCCCTTCTCCTCTAATTCTCCTGTTGGCTGGCATTTCTCCACTCTTGCTCTGTATTGCTTTACTCTCCTCACTTATGTTTCTCATTGTTTCACCAAGGCCAAAAATCTGCATTTTCCATTCCATTCCTTTTACTGCCACCACAGCAAAACCACACTTACATCAAATTCTGTTCCGATACCCGCTTTTCATTTGTAAAGTTGGCAAAAACAGAAATCACGTTTGCAGAAGTATAAACACAGATGTTTCAGATTTGAAATAGGCACTTTAGTAATAATTTAAACACATTAGAATCCTCTAAACATGTCATTCTTGCTAACGAACATCTATTCGGGTTGGATTTACAAAAACATAAATTTACCATTGTTTTATCTCCTTGTTTTCTTCTGATTTACCCTCTGATGATTATTCTGTCTGCTTCTGTACATTTCTAAAAGGCTCTATGTTTAACTGAAGTTTCCCCAAGTGGGTTATTGTGTGTGTGTGTGTGTGTGTGTGTGTGTGTGTGTGTGTGTGTGTGAGAGAGTGCGTCAAACATCCCCCTGTGACTTTAAAAAACAGGGTACTAGGGCAGCCGGTGTTAGAGTTTGTATGTGTGTTTGTGGTCAGTGACTAATAGGCCTCGGAGAAAGATTTACTGGTGTGTGTGTGTGTGTGTGTGTGTGTGTGTGTGTGTGTGTGTGTGTGT